GGGGGGGGGGGGGCTGCCAGCAAGATGGCTGCTGCCCCCACCCTTTGCTGCTGATTGGCTGCCAGAGCTTGCCCCTCTTGACCAATCAGCAGTGAGGGGCAGGGCAACATGATGGACAGTCCTCGCAGCCAATCAGCAGCATGGGGTGGGACTACATGACAGGCAGCCCCTGCATCCAATCAGTGGTGAAAGGGTGGGGCAACAGGGGCCTCTCAGCCAATCAGTGGCATGGCTACCCAGGCCCACATTCTGCCTGCAAAATCAGGGGGCAGCTCCCATGAATTAGGTGGGTCCCTACCTACAAGGTCTTCAAGGCCAAAAAAATGGTTTACCTATCTCAGTCCCTGTGGTGGGCCAGAGCCTGACCAATCTTTCATCACTGCTAACCAGCTCGATGTGTGGGAAATACGTGAGAGTGGTCACTAAACAGTCTTTCAATTAATGCCTACAGATTGTGTGTTTAGCGGGTTCATCTTCAGAGTCGGGGACCTATAGCAGCATGCTTGTTTTGATTTGGTGTCTTCTAAAACCGTTAAGGAATGTAATATTTTACTTGAGCATCTAACCTGAATATTTGCTGGGATTATTCGTGAGAGGAGCTCTTATCTCATACAGCTTTATAGCCAAATCCCATTGTGGAAGTAAACAGTTTACACAGCTATTATATTTTTCTTTGTGACTTGCTTAATGGGAATAAAATCTGAATTAACATTTCCTTATCACTGATTTGAGTAGGCTAAGAGAAAAACCTTATTGTATAGCTGTCTTTTCCGAATTGCCTTGCTACTAGGTCACTGCCAAGGTCAGTTCTTATCGCTTTCTATTTATGCTCTGCAATGCACCATGCACACCTGTGTTTTGAAGGAGAATGTTTTTATCCCCTAATTCAAAGTCCCTGTCTATTTCCAGGCCTTTGGAGAGGTTAGCTCATTAATTAATTTTTTTCCGTGTGCTTAACATAGGAACACAACTTAAGCCTGTAGGTTTCCCCATGCACTAGCACGTACACATCCTTCCAGTTTGATTTTCTCTGCTCCTGCCCATACCATTAACAAGCAAGTCATAGAGCAAGATATTCAGCTGGCGTAAACACCATAGTCATTTCAGATGAGCTAATGCCAGTTCATACCAACTGATAATCCAGGCCATATAGGCATTCTGGTTACATCCATAACCGTATTACATCACAGAGTTTTCCAATATTTTTATGATATCAAAACTTTAATCCCACACGTTGAAGGATATTTTTTGCTAAAAGAGGTTTTGTGGAAAAAATGTGTTATGAAAATGACTGACCCTCTCATTCTGGGAGTGAGTGAGGGCCTGAGGAGGGCTCATGCCTGTTTCCTTATGTTTCTTTCTTCCATCTCTTCAGTGGCCTGTTCATTGCAATGGTTGTGAGCCTGCTCTTCCTCGTGCTGCTGAGGTTCACAGCGGGGGTCCTCTTCTGGATTTTCATCTTTGGTGTGATTGGAATGATAGGCTATGGTAGGTGTTAGCTCCTTGATGCCAAGGTGGAGCAGGATACGTATTTTTCTTATTGATGAAATTTGTACTAGGAAAATCTGCAATTATAATGAATGTAATTTTTTTAATCTGGATAATATTGCAGATCGGAAGGGTTTTTTTGGTTTTCTTTAACAAAGCTTTTACTGTGGATCAGTTGCAGTACCATGGAACTACTCAATCAGTGGTTAGTTTGTGAAGCAGTAGGTTTTGTATGTTTGCATTTCTTCTCTCATCAAGTGGGTTAATAAGCTTCCAGTCTCATAACTCGTCCCCCCTGCCCCCGCATGACATGTTAAAAGCAAATCACTTTCTTTGAAAAATGTTACAAAAGGCTCATTTGTGTGTACAACTCTTCAGAAACACTCAGGCTGCTTTGACTTGTTTTTTTTCCTCCCCCCAAAGGCATCTGGCATTGTTACTGGGAGTATGATCATCTTCGGGGAATACCAGGATCTGACCTCACCATCTATGATATTGGGTTCCAGACTGACTTCAGAGTGTACCTGCAACTGAGGCAAACATGGTTAGCATTTAGTAAGTGCTTTAAAAATAGTCTCTATTTATGCATAACCAGGAGAATGAATCATCACACATCAAGTCATTCTTGTTACACCTGCAGACAAAACTCCTCCTTTGGTTACCACACTGTGACATGTGCAGTCAGTGGAGATGTTTTATTATATTACGCAGTTTTTAAACTTTCCATGATTACTATTTTATCCGACCTACTTTAATCATATTTATAACAAACATGGAAGAAATGCACCATCTAGGGAACAGTTCACATACTGTGCATCCCTCCTCATGTTATTGGGGATGGTAAGGGAGCAAACAAGACAAATCCTGGGACTCTGGCAAGGCTGCATGTGAGAACTGCATTTTCTGTCCCCATCCAGTCCTTTCTGAGGGGGAACTATGTGCAGCACAGGAAGAAGAGAGATATGTACTAAGTGGACCATTGTCCACATGGTTGGTCCATTTGGGCAGGATCACTGACCATGATTGATTAGATCCTGGCACTAGACCCAGGAACACTTTGGGGGAGTGTTGGGGACACGAGTGTAGCAGAAGAAGTATCCTGCATGAACTAAGTACAGTATAGGTATTGTTACAGTGTTGCACCAGTGTCCAATATGGGAAAAGTCTGGGAGTAAATCTAACTTAAGAGGCTGCTGGCTGAAGTTTGGCCTTGCTGGTTTAGGGAAGGCCTCTGATGACCTGGTTTGAGTGACTTTTCATGTCTTAGCTGAACTTACAGCACTGAGCATGAAACTTTCAGGCCATAGGAAACTAACTAGCAGAGAACACTGCAACACAGCTCAGCAACTCAGGCCACGTTAGACCTAACCTGCAGTCACTCTACTGGCTTCCCATAGAAGTTCAAGTCAAATTTAAGGCCTCAGTTCTCATCTTCAAGGCTCTCCACAGCCGATATCTAGAAGGTTGCCTGAAACCCCTAAATGAGAGTTCTTGTACAAGGGAGTTTTTAGCAGTAAGACCTAAGCCCCTCTTGGCAGGGCTTAAAGAATGAAGTCCCCCAGGAACTAAGAGCGATCACAAACCTCACCATCTTCCACACCAAGTGCATCCATCTGACTTCTCTAATGCAAACACTCAACAGATTTTTAAAAAAATCTCACCCAAACCAGACACTACTCTGCACACACATCTTCCATTGGAAAGAAAATGGGAGAACAATCACGTGACACATATTTCTTAAAGCAATACTGGAAGGTACATAGTAGGGGTGTGCAAAGGGGGCCCTATTCAATTTGGATTCAGCCTGAATCAGGGACAATGATTTGATTTGTTGATTTGGATCGCTGTCCCTGATTCGATTTGGCCAAATCCGAATCTGAAGATTCGATGCTGATTTAGAGAATCAGTGATTTGGACATAGACACAACTTTAAATGTTTCTTCTACATACCTCTAGGTACCAGCATGGCTTGTGAACGCTGTGATGCTGGGGTGAATGGAGCGCTCCACAGGAGCATGGGGGCCCTCCATGTGTTCAGCGGTGAACCCCAAAGTGGACTGGTAGCCTCCTGGCTCAGCAGTTGACTGTGGGGGGACTCCGAGTGCCCCTCCAAACCTAGGAGGCACCAGTCAGGAAGCGGGGGGGCCCCCTAGCATGCTCCCTGGCAGACCTGGAAGTGGACTGGAAGTGCTTCTGGTCCACTTCTGGGTCTGTTGGGGAGCCCCCTGCAGTTCTGTGGGACACTCTATGCACCCCAGCATTGCAGGATTCATGAGCCACCTAGATTAGATAGAACCCCCTTCATTACCTAGTTTAATAACTAAAGCTTGCAGTCCTTTGCTGAAACTCATCTTCCCTTTGTTGGGTCTTTATTTACCTGGATGTCTGGGCTAATATGCTAATAAGGCATATATTACCACATATTGCTAAGGCAAATTTCTCTAAAGTTATGTACCTAGAGAATATTCCAGTTTTATTGCATCCCTGTTTCATGCTTGTAACACCCAACAGATGCTAGCCTCCTGCATACTCAGCAGGCACTGTTTCAGCATGCATATTTCATATGGGTTGAAATATTTTATCACAGAACAGTTCACAAAGGAGGCACACTATACACATTTTGCAGATGAAGAAACCAAGGTATGAGACTAGATGAAGGTCCCTTAGCTGGGTAGCAGAAGAGTCAGGAACAGAGTAATTACCAAAGCTCATCCTATAGGTCATGCTGCCTCTCTTAGATGCTTTATACACATTTCCGTAATTTAACAGAACTGAATTGGAATAAATTTAAGAAATGTATTGTCACCACAAGAAAACTCTGAGAATAACTGTGAGAAGACCTGATCCTTGGAGGGGTAGAGCAGTTTCATGGAAAGCAGAGGGCATTCAGCATCTCTGAGGATCCTTAAGTTTATACTGTAAGGCATCATACTTTCTAAGGGGGCTTTGGATCAAGGTACCACAATGTCTGTTTGCCGATCTAGACACTCAAATTTGATCTTTAAAGATTCTACAATTACTTGTGGGGGAAAGATCTGCAGTACAGCTCTTTCCATTCTCAGGTATGAGCTGGTATGTGGTAAACTGGTGGAACTGGGATTCTGAGACTGGGACTTCAGGAGCAGAGTTAGAACATGCGTGTAACTTCTGTGGAATACAGCCCCCTCCAGACTGTCCTCCTCCAACTCTCTCCATGCCAGTTAAATAAGGGCTGGATTCTACTCTCATACCAGCGTTATGCACATGTAACCCTGCTGACTTCAGTGGAATTGCCTCTATGTGAAATCAGGGTAATGAAAACCAGAATCAAGCCTTCTTCGTGAAAGAATTGATTTCCATCTTCATTTCAAATAGTACAAATTACAAGCAGTGCAACATAACCATTGAAAGTGCCTGTATATAACTAAAGAGAAATGTTTTTCCATTAAATATATTAAGGAAAATAATATTCTTGCCAAATGTTCTGTCCATATGGTTTTTAATCGATGATTTTCTTTGCAAAATATTTTACTTTGCAGTGCTCCAATTTTCTTTTTAAATTACAAATGCTAATGTCATCTGCCAAGGCCCTACACATTCTGGCTGGCAGCTGGAGTGTGGGAGTTCACAAGCACTTATAAAATGGGGATTGAATGTTGGAATTTTGCAGTGAGAAGGAGCCAGAGCAGTCTTGCTGAGTTACTTGGGATTCATGAGCAGGACTATAAAGCAGGAAGCTGAAACCAACAGTGTAGAAAGAAAGTGTTAATTTGATTTTTGATCAGTTTAATTTTCTTGCTTGCAGTGATAATACTTTGCATTGTGGAAGTCATCATCATACTGATGCTGATCTTCCTAAGGAATCGGATCCGGATTGCTATTGCACTCTTGAAGGAAGGCAGTCGGTATGTTTCACGGATGTTTTCTTAAAATAAGTTATAAATACCCACCTTGATGCACTACTTTGGAGCTGACTCTAGCACAGCTGGGGTAGAGTGGTGTGATAAAAGCATGAGAGAAAAAGTGATGATAAGGACAGGGGAAGCCAGTCATCCATTAATGAGGCCATATCTACATTAAGAATTGTCACTGCCAGAACTTTTCTTTGCTTGCAGATGTTCAGAGACACAGCAAGCTCATTCAGTGCCCAGGGTGGTTAAGGAGGTGTGGCGGGCAAAGAGGGTAGTCTTACCTATCTGGGCCCCCTGCACAGAGAAGGAAGTTGCTGCTGCTGCTGGTCAGCCAACACTGCTACAGCAGCAGCAGTAGTAGTAGCCATGTTCCCTGTGCAGAGAGCCAGGGTAGCAGTGACAGAGAGTCCAGCAGTAGCAGCCCTGTAGCGCGAACTCCCTGGAAGCCACCTCAGGGGTCCTGTTTGCTTCCCCTCCCATCCCCCACACCAGATGCATTACTGGGTGCAGGGCTGCACATGCTGTGAGAAAAAAACTCCCCAGAGAGGAGAGAGGGAAGCCCTTTCTACTCACCACCCATCTCTCAGATGCACTGCTGGGTGCACAGCTCTGGTGCCTGGTTCCTATAGCTAGGCAGCACAGGGATGCCTCTACCATGGTAAAGACTCCTGGGAGGGGATTCCAGAAGCCCTCTCCATAGTCGGTGCCCAGGGCTGGTACCCGACTTGCCCCCACCCCCCCAGCTACACTGCTCAGCTGTCAACATTGCTGTGTCTTGAGTGTGTCCAGTGGGATGCTTTTGCTAGTTTTGTGCCTCCTCACTGAGGAGGTAGTGTTGGCAAAATGACTGGACATGATGCCCCGTGGTAAGAGCTCATGGCCTACACTTGTCCAGATTGTGATATTGCTGGAGCTGATTCACACTAGCACTTTAGAAATGGCTGTCTGTCAGGTTAGGGCAGGGGCAGGGGTGGGCAATTTTTTGGGCAGAGGGCCACTTACCAAGTTTTGGCAAGATGTTGAGGGCCACATAGGTAGCCCCACTCCTTGACAGGTGCCCTGGCCCCTAGTTGCCATCGTGTGTCCCACCCCTTCTTGCCCCCTAACCCCCAACCTTTGCCACCAGAAGCTCCTCCCCTTGCCCCCGGAAGTACTCCTTTCAGCAAGGGGTTTTGCCACCTCAGAACCAGAAAAATACCAAATTATATTCTAAAACTCAAACATCTACAGTGTTCATTAATTTGACTTTAAAAAATATTTTTGTCCTGATTTACGTGTGTAGTGTACATAGAGGTGATTGCACAATAGCTTAAAATGAAGTCTTACTCTTGTATATTGTGGGGGGTGGGGGCATGG